CTGTTTGATGGTGGCCAGTGTCTACTGTTGTTGATGTTGCCTGCAGCACCACATTACAGTATTTGATAAGAGTATTTTTGTAATTTATATGTAATGATGTGAAGACAGGCAAGCTTAGTTTTAAGAGACAATATTGGAAAATATTTTGCAGATATGATAAATACAATCTCAAAAAGAATAGCAATAAGGCTGCCTATACAATTTTTATATTCACATTGTAGATGTGATTAGTATAACACTGCACCAGGTCATGTCCATTGACTAATTAATATTTCGGCAGGTGAACACGTCAGTACCAACACCACCGCCCCCCTCGGGCATACCTACTCCGCCCCTAAGTCAGTATGGTCAATACCCTCCTCAGCTACAACCATTGTCTGTGTCATCGTCGTCATCATCACTAAGCCCACCCTTAAACCAGGGCTTTTTGCTCTCGCCTGACAAGACCAACATCTACCACGACTTGGGCATCATCTCGCCTCTAAAGTAAGTTAAACACTGGATCATTTATTATACTCAGTACCATAATTTCTTGCATGCCTTCAGATATCTTGTATGTTTACCCTCTCTCAAGTGCTCTCAATTTACATACATTTAAGCTATTTACACTAAAGTCAATAGACTATGTCAATATTTATGCTGTAGACAATTAGACATTAGACTTAGTGTGTACAAAGAAGGTGCCAAGGAACTGGAGCTACTCTCCCCTTCCTTGGATCAAACCTGATCCAAGGAAGGGGATGGTATGACTCGTAGGAGTCTAGTGCTTCTAAATTAATATATTAATGATGTTTGTATTAACCATTATTCTTATACAGTAGTTTGGTTAAGTTAATACCAAGGTCAGTAAATATTTGCTCATGGAGAAAACTTATTTTTTGTGATTCTTTTTTTTAGATTTTGAGTGAACATATCCCTTGTTATTAGAAAATATTAAATATCGTCTTGTATTTTTAAGTTTTCCAGCTTGTGTTCATATATGTACGTATGTAGAAAATACTTTGTTTTGGACTTGTAACCCATTATGTTAGCCTTTACAAATGATCTTGTTTGTTAGGTACTTTGATGAACTGGGCTCATTGTCCCCACTGAAGCAGGATCGTGGTTTGGATGCTTTCAGAGCTGACTTGGATATGGGAGCATTTGAACTTCTGACATGCAGTCCTGTTAAGGTAAATTGTGCTCCTAAAAAAGTCTTTGTATTCATGTCTTTCCTTATTGACGTATGACCTTTTCATGATTTTCTATTCGTTTTTCCTATGCTTGGCATTCCCTTTCCTTCTGTCTTGCTGGTAGATGCCCATATTATGATGCAAGAACTGTTCATGAATTCACAATTAACACACAAAGTTCATGACAGTGTTTTGCTCCATCCTGGGCCATTGTTCGGCCTTTAGATCTTCGGTTTTTGTTTTTTCCTCTCAGTTTGGACTTAACAATGGCACAAGATGGACTGACACATCATCATTAGCTTTCACTCCAAGGTGCAGATTATATGTAAAGTGTTGCAGTCATGATATTGTCTTATTCTTCACCTGTTCACTTCATCAGGTCAGGTAGGAAGCCTTTAAGTATATGAATTTTGTACATAACATGCAGTCTGAGTCACATAGCCAAGAAACTAGGAATGTAATACACATGTAGCCTCTTTTACTAGACATCATTTCACCCGAAATAGGACTTTATCAAAGCCGTATAGAACCCAGAAGTTAGTAATTGATGTACTTCAGGATCTTTAATATAAGGTACACTGTAGTTACCTGCTTAGGCATGAAATTCGAGGAAGCTTTATAGAAGGTCTTTAGAGTAGATATTCTATAACATGGGTCTAATATTTATTACCACATTGGCAGTTTTTTGCCACAATAGGTAACCCCAATCCTGGCTGTCTTACCACTGCACTGACATCACAATTTAAATGACCCACCAGATTGTAACATTTTTATCCATTACTCACGAAATCGTAATACTGTAACATGATTGCAAACGAATCACGGTATGGATGGGTATTGAACCCATGGCCTGGAGTTTTAGGACTTACCATGGGTTCAATCCCCACTCATTCCATTCTTTAGAGTGCAGAGCCTTTTTTTTTTTTTTTTTTTTTTTTTTTTACCCCACCTCCAGCATTGAGGTCTGGCTAACTGTTTTCCCTGACTTCCATCATATATGTTACTTGTTCTCAAATTCAAACTTCACATCCAAGCACAAAAAAGTTATATTTTTTATATGCACCATAAAAAAGCTTGTAATTATATTTTTTATTACAGGTTAAGCAAGAGCTGATGCAGGAAATATTACTTGCTTCCCCTCCACCTGTCAGTGTGAGTGCAGCAGTTCCATCCACATCATGCTTCACATCATGTTCATCCTCCACCACCACCACCTACACAGCTCCTCCCATATATGTTACAACATCCAGTGCTTCCTGTCCCACTTCTGTGCACAATATAAGCACTAACAGCATACACAATGTGTCATTCTCCTCAATGAATTCATCAAGACTGTCAACACCACCCATACTGAGAAGGGGACGGAGGAAACAGCCTTCTCCCACCAAGAGACATCATCTCTCATCCATCTTGGTAGGTTTTGGGCACCCTTATATATATGCCAATATTAAAGGCTAATGTAATTGTCATTATGACATACTATATTTGCAAGCATTGTACATGCACAAATATCCTCACATAGAAAGAAAATGTGACAACATTTTGGTTCGAGTTCAAGTTGGACAAAAGCATCATCGTAAGTTCCATTCTCCTATGTACGGGTATTTGTGTATTGCTCCAGTCACAGTATTGTGCCTTTTTATTCCTTATTGTACATGATTTTTTCTCCCTACTGGTAGTTCAGCTTTTTCTACCAGTCTTGAATTTGAGAATTGGTACTATACTGTATGAACATTGAGATTTAATGCTTCTTTATGACTTGGAGGGTGTATAAATCTGTAGTGGAGGAAAGGTGGGGTAGAGGTCACCCTAGGAAAGGTTGGATGGAGGGGGTAAAGGAGGTTTTGTTTGCAAGGGGCTTGGACATCCAGCAGGCATGTGAGAGCATGTTGGGTAGGGGTAGAGACAAGTGGTTTTTATGACTTGATGTGTTGATGTGAGCAAGGTAACATTTATGAAGGGTTTCAAATAAACTGGTTGGCTGGACTTGAGTTCTAGAGGTGGGAAGTACAGTGCCGGCACTCTGAAGGAGGGGTGGGAATATTTTCAGTTTAGAGAGGCGTCTGAGCTGTAGTGATAGTGAATGATGGTAAAAGTGGGCATGTAATAGAAATAGTGAGGTAAAAAAAAAAATGCTGCAAAAGCATTAGTTGTGATAAAATAAGACACCTATGAGTCAGCATTGACAGAAAGATTGTCTCTACAAGATTATATTAAAGAAATAATATGAAGATCCACTTTGTTTCACTCGTAAGAAGATGATGGTCCAGGACAGAAAGAAATATCATAAGCTGTTTCCAGATTTGTTAGTTGTAAATTGTTCCAAACACAGTATTGTTGTTTATGATTCTTCAATACCTGTAATATTTTGTTTGAACATAAAACATCATAATGACATGTGAGAGTTAGAACATGTTTGAAATTGGCTCCCAAATGAGACAAAGGAATTGAAGGTAAAAAATTTACTTACGAGTTAAACAATGAGTAGAAGCAAACTCCATTCAAGATATGACAGCTATTTCACCTCTCTCATGCAATGATAATATCCCTGTCTTTTCCCCCTCCCTTACACGCTTAGAGGTTATTGTACCCCCTTCTTTATTGTGCACAAATTAATGATGAACAAAAGCATGTGTACATACATGATATATTTTTTTCACATTGAGTGAGTGTTTGGGAAGGTTGGAATTTCAATATCACTGTATTCACTGCCTCTTTTTGCCCTCAGGATCCCAATGAGTCCCTCCTAACAACTCCACAGAAGATGACTCCTGTCAAGGCGATACCGTTTAGTCCTTCTCAGTTCTTGAATAGCCCCAATTTGTCATTTGAGGACAATAATCTTACTTCCACTCCAATCCTTGGGGGAATTCCTGTATCTCAGTCTACACCAGTTCAGCCTTTATCATCCTCTAATCCTCCTCCTCCTCCTCCTCATTCCTCTACACCTTGTGAGCCCACTGGACAGCCACGGACGCCCAAGTCTCGTCGAGCTCTCCTCCAGCCTGCACCAAAAACTCCCACACCATTAAAGAATGCTCTGCGGGAGATCGAAAAGAAGAGTGGCCCTCTTAAGCACTTGGTGAGAATAATGTTACATTAATTTGAATATATCTTGGAGTGCTTTTGTGAGTCACTTAGAGGATGCCTGGTTGGCAACCTGATCAGCCTAATTATTGGTGTTTACAGCATAATCCACCATAAGTATCACAAAGTGGCTTACATCTCACATCTGGAAGTCCGTTAATAATTTCCCTTATACTGCATATAGAAAATGGGTATTGAAAAGCCTTAACCCATTTATGCTTTTCATTGAGTCTGTTTTGCAAAAGCTACTGTGCATTCTTTTCAAGTAGGGAGTCTTTTTCACTGCAGGTGTTGCTGCAGCACTTACAGTATTTTCCAGATTTTAATTTGCAGGTGTTGACTTTACATATTTGGGGATTTTTAACTACCATGTCTCGGTATACTGAAGAGTATATTCTTTACAGCAGCAGTTTTATAAAATTAATAGATGGTGTTGATCAATATCTGTTGGCAAATGTAATTTAGATACATTATCTGTAACATCTAAATTTGTTCTTAGGCAAGTTAAATATGGCACTCTATTGGGGCACATTTCTTTAGATTGAATTTGACATTACCACTGTAATATAGTGCTTGTTGTCCTCTCAGCCACAGACTCCAACCCATCTGGAGGATATAACAGAGATTATACGCAAGGACACGGAGGAGCGCATCAAGTTTGAAACGCCTTCGATGAATAACCAGAACTCTCGAAATCAGGTGTGCTTTCAGGGATTTTGATCTTGTTTTGGGAGGAAGGAAGATGATTGGATGAAAGGAAGAGTTCTCAGTAATAATTCAAGTAGAGTAATTATGTTGGGAGATAATATATAAGGTGCTCTTCTCTATTGTAGGAAAATGATAAATTGCTACTCAAATTTTTCTTTGCAGAAAATACTGAATGGTGTAAATATTTATCAAAATTATTGAAAGTTTTTTAAGTCATTGGTAAGTGAAGATTATTAATTAACCTTTGGCCAAACTTTTGTAAGTGTGTGGTTTATCAGTTATATTTTACACTCACAGTCTAGTATGTGTGATAGTGGCTACGGTACTTTGAAGCGAAAAGCAACTTCTGCCATTGGTAAAGAAAACTCCCCCAGCAAGAAAGCTCGCAAGGTTCTCCTTCACTCATGGTCAACCCCAGGAGAAATACAGGTTCCTGGCTTCCGTGCAGAGTCCCTCACCCTAATGCCAGAGACTCCGGTAAGTTCAGATAGATTTTTATTAAAAACCATACTCTGCACTGCATTTACAGTTATTATGCTTATACAGCATTTATTCACTTTCCATAATGATTATGTAAAATGTTTCAGAAGTGTCCTAGAACTAGCATATAATACCAAGTTTGTTTGACGTGACTGATTTTCTGCTCTTGGCTCCACTTTCTAAACTGCTGTCAACCATCATAAATAGTTCCTTACTTATTGACCCTGTCATATCTACTCTTGAAGGTGTAAGGATTTCCTTTACATTAAGAAGACAAAGGCACAATACATGATTCGAACAGTACACAGACAACTCACATATAGGGTTGTGCATGTTACTTGTATATTCATTTACATTCTTGTTTTGTTCAATTCAATACATTTTTTTACCATCCTAAGATTAGAAAAATATTGTTAACTTGTGTCACACGTCTTTTTTTTTTTTCTATGCATTCCCTCTAGCCTCTACTTACATTGCAAGCTATGTCTCATATCTTGTTCATCATAATTGTTTGTGACCTGTTCCCTCGTTTTCCTTAGGTCACATTGTTTCCTTAGCCTTCCTTCAAAGCAATCAGTACAGTATTATAGTGACACTGATAGTAACTGCTGTTTAGATGAATGGCTCAAGCCTAGTTGGGAACTGTATATACTAGGGAAAATGAAGTATATTGCTACCCTTGGGAAATTCTTCGTTATACTCGCCCATTCTGACATTTTTACCTTCACGGAGAAACCGTCTGTTTTTCAGATGTTCATTATGTGTTGGTAGTGCCTCTGACCCTGCTCTGTACTTCTTGTTTTTTATAGTTTCTTCTGGTACTCTGTGGTATTAGGGAAGTACAGATAGGAAGCTCTTATTTTTTTTTTTTTTAACAAGTCGGCCGTCTCCCGCCGAGGCAGGGTGACCCAAAAAGAAAGAAAATCCCCAAAAAGAAAATGCTTTTATCATCATTCAGCACTTTCACCTCACTCACACATAATCACTGTTTTTGCAGAGGTGCTCAGAACACAACAGCTTAGGAGCATATAATTATAAAAGTACACAACGTATCCCTCCAAACCGTCAATATCCCGAACCCTTCCTTTAGAGTGCAGGCATTGTTATCTAATTTTAGATGCATCTTGAACACATCCAGTAAACCATGTTTCATCCAACAGAATGGTGGTAAGTGGAATCTGCAAGCATTCCTATCTTCACAGTTGTTCTGACATTCCTTCATGGTGTCACCTCACCCATTCTCTTCTTGACTTATCTTTCCACCTTGTTCTTGTTATGTGTCTCATTTCTATGATAGTGATGATAATTTTGATTTCTACAAGTACATGTACAATATATATAGGCCTAGCTGACATCAGTGACATACTATACAGGAAGCCCCTTGTTATGCAGAGCATTTCGGGCAAATTAAGTCAATTTTGTCCCCAGGATGCGACCCACACCAGTCAAGTAACACCCAGGTACCTGTTTTACTGCTAGGTGAACAGGGACAGCAGGTGTCTTAAGGAAATGCATCCTAATGTTTCCACCCATGTTGAGGATCAAACCACAGGCCTCATTGTGTGAACTGAGTGCACTGGCTGTGTGCTATTTAACTCTTCCATGTTTCTTGACCTTGGGTGGTCTTTATCATTCTCATTTTGTGCAAATTAATACAATAATATGACATGTGATAAAATTTTGTGTATTGTACTATTTTTGACTTAAAAGGTTTTAGTAACTATGCTTTTCTTTGCAGAGCAAGAGCCTGATTGGTGATTCCTCTGTTCTGTTCTCACCTCCCTCCATCATCCGTGATACTCTACCCGAAGAAAACCATCCCCTGACTTCACCATCAGTCCTGGTAGACAAGTCAACTAAAAAGGTAAAATATTCCTTACTTTATGTAGTGTTTTTAAAGTAGGAAGATAGGTAGCAGTCGAGTAGAATGTAGTTAAGTAGTTTGCAGCAGATTTACAGTATATTTTATGTAATTTGGAGGATAGTTACTTGAAGCCTTTTAGAGAAGCTGACATTATAATTGTTTGAACTGGAGCAGAAGCCATCTTGGCCTAGTAGGGCCATTGTTGCTATTGGATTTGTTCAAGCACTTTCTTCCTTCTTTCTGCTGCCCTTCATGCTGTTACTAAGGATCCAAGTTTGACATGAAGGTATTGGTAAATTAGATATAACATGTTTGGAGATTTCTATAGATACCGTATTGAATAATAATGATCGAATATTAATCTTAAGCATGTAGGTGGAAATTGTAGCATAGCACTGTTAGTTTCATTTATTTAGAGAAGTAAAATACAGGAGGACCCCTCATATACAGCATCCTCATTTTTGTTTTCCACATTTTGTCGTTGCTCATTATGTTCTACCCTGCCAGCGGGTGGCAGTGGCTCAGTTGAAAACCAACAAAAATGTGAAACACCAAAAAGAGATTCTGTATATCTGGGGCCCTCCTGTACATAGTAAGTTGTTGAATTTTATTGACAACCTTTGGTGTGAGGACCAAGAGGAGGAAGCACACCTGATATTTTATAGCATGTGATAATTGGTAGAAACAAGGCAGGCTCTACCTTATTCTTCCCTGCCATTCACCATCTGATAAGAGCTTTCGTCCCCCCCTCCCAACCAGCCGAGAGATGGCGAAATTGGAATGGGGTGCGTGAAACGGATAACCTTCTCGGAGGGCCAGACCACCAAGGCCAACCTCTCGAAGGTAAACGCACACTCACTCTCTTGGGGCCTGTGTGTCTTGTGGTTGTCAGTTATGACAAACCATTATCTTGGCTTCTTGAAATTGCACCAATTCCATTTTTGGTTGAAACACCTGGTTTTGTTTTTGTTTTGTTTTATTTTTTTGCTTTTTGAGTTTATAGTTGAGTTAATGCATGTTTGTTTTTCTTGGTGGCATGTTGTGCATGGTGGCATCATCTATTAACACCAGGAATACCTACTTTATTTATTAATGCTTCAAACAATTAAATTTCTTTTTTTTAATTGATATTTAGCATTCTTGATTGACTGTCATCTATTAAATTGTCTGCACCTATTTTTTTTATTTAATTTTTTTGTTTTGCATCAGTTTTGCCTAACATTTTTACTTTATAATTTGGTTTTATTTTATTTAACCTTTATTTTAAAGGTAATATTTTGAGATATATCTTCCTTCCAAGTACAGTGCAAGATTTGCTGTGTTTATATGTTACTTCATCTTACGTTGTGAGTCAACCCTGTTTTTTTTGTACCAACCCAACTCTTTTTAATTGCGGTATCTTGTGTCTAATAATGGTCTTACTAAAAAATACGGGGCCACATTCCAAACAGAAGATTTTTATTATTATTTATTTTTTATCACACCGGCCGATTCCCCCCAAGGCGGGGGGCCCGAAAAAGAAAAACTTTACCTCATTACTCCTCCTGTCTTCCCAGAAGGGTGCTTTACACACAGTTTTTAAATGCAACATTAACACCCCCCTTCGAGTGCAGGCACGTATTCCCCATCTCCGGGGACTCAAGCCCGGGCCCTCCCGGTTTTCCCCTGAACCCCTTCAAAAATTTTACTTTGCTCACACCCCAACGCACGTAAAGTATTTAAAAAAACCCTTTGTCTCCTTCATCCCATCAACCGCTCAGCTGCCCGCTGGAAATCCAAACCCTGCACACAAAACCTCCCTTTCCCCTCCTCCAACCTTCTAGGCCCACCCCTACCCCGCTTCCTTCCCCTACAGACGTAACCTTGAAGTATTCTGTTTTTGCTCCTTCTTTACATGTCCGAACCACCTCAAAACCCTTCCCAGCCCTTGGAAACGTTTTGGTAATCCCGCACCTCCTCCTAACTTCCAAACTACGAATTCTCTGCATATATTAACACCACACATTGCCCTCAGACATGACATCTCCACTGCCCCCAGCCTTCTCCTCGCTGAACATTCATCCCCCACGCTTACACCCATAAAAGGGAGCTTTGGGTTTAAAACTATACTCTCATACATTCCCCTCTTTGCCTCCAAGGACAAAGTTCTTTGTCTCCACAGACTCCTAAGTGCACCACTCACTCTTTTTCCCCATCAATTCTATGATTCACCTCATTTTTCATAGACCCATCCGCTGACACGTCCACTCCCAAATATCTGAATACGTTCACCTCCTCCATACTCTCTCCCTCCAATCTGATATTCAATCTTTCATCACCTAATCTTTTTGTTATCCTCATAACCTTACTCTTTCCTGTATTCACCTTTAATTTTCTTCTTTTGCACCACCTACCAAATTATCACCAATCTCTGCAACTTCTCTTCAGAATCCCCCAAGAGCACAGTGTCATCAGCAAAGACAGCTGTGACAACTCCCACTTTGTGTTTTGATTCTTTATCTTTTAACTCCACGCCTCTTCCCAAAGGGACCCTCGCATTTACTTCTCTTACAAACCCCATCTATAAAATATATTAAAAAACCACGGTGACATCACACATCCTTGTCTAAGGCCTACTTTTACTGGGAAAAATTTCCTCTTTCCTACATACTCTAACTTGAGCCTCACTATCCTCGTAAAAATCTTCACTGCTTTCCGTAACCTACTTTCCCACACCATACACTTGCAACATCTGCCACATTGCCCCCTATCCACCCTGTCATACGCCTTTTCCCAAAACCATAAATGCCACAAAGACCTTTTAGCCCTTATCTAAATACTGTTCACTTATATGTTTCACTGTAAACACCTGGTCCCACAAACCCCCACCTTTTCCCAAAGCCTCCTTGTTCATCTGCTATCTATTCTCCGTCTTACTCTTAATTCTTTCAATTAAACTCTACCATTTCACTTTACCAGGTACACTCAACAGACTTCTTTCTTCTTTCAACACACCGGCCGTATCCCCCCGAGGCGGGGTGGCCCAAAAGGAAAAACGAAGTTTCTCCTTTTTTCATTTAGTAATATATACAGGGAAGAGGTTACTAGCCCCTTGCTCCCGGCATTTTAGTTGCCTCTTACAAAAACGCATGGTTACGGAGGAAGAATTTGTTCCACTTCCCATGGAGATAAGAGGAAATAAACAAGAATAAGAATAGAAAGAAAATAGAAGAAAACCCAGAGGGGTGTTTTATATTGTGCTTGTACATGTATGTGTAGTGTGACCTAAGTGTAAGTAGAAGTAGCAAGACGTACCTGAAATCTTGCATGTTCATGAGACAGAAAAAAGGGACACCAGCAATCCTACCATCATGTAAAACAATTACAGGCTTTCGTTTTACACTCACTTGGCAGGACGGTAGTACCTCCCTGGGCGGTTGCTGTCTACCCCCTACTACCTATAACTCAACGACTTACCCCCCTATAATTTTTGCACTCTCTTTTATCCCCTTTGCTTTATACAAAGGAACTATGCATGCTCTCTGCCAATCCTAGGTACCTTACCCTCTTCCTTACATTTATTAAATAATTGCACCAACCACTCCAAAACTATATCCCCACCTGCTTTTAACATTTCTATCTTTATTCCCCCTCAATCCCGGCTGCCCTTTCCCCCTTCATTTTACCTACTGCCTCACGAACTTCCCCCACATCACAACTGGCTCTTCCTCACTCCTACAAGATGTTTTCCTCCTTGCCCTATACACGAAATCCAGCTTCCCTATCTCATCAACATTTAACAATTCCTCAAAATATTCCTTCCATCTTCCCAATACCCCTAACTCTCCATTTAATTAACTCTCCTCTCCTATTTTTAATGACAAATCCATTTGTTCTCTAGGCTTTCTTAACTTGTTAATCTCACTCCAAAATTTTTCTTATTTTCAAACAAAAATTTGTTGATAACATCTCACCCACTCTTCATTTGCTCTCTTTTTACATTGCTTCACCATCTCTTAATTCTTTCTTTTTCTCCATATACCTTCCCTCCTTGCATCCTTCTACTTTGTAAAAACTTCTCATATGCTAACTTTTTCTCCCTTACTACTCTCTTTAATCATCATTCCACCAATCGCTCCTCTTCCCTCCTGCACCCACTTTCTGTAACCACAAACTTTGCTGAACACTCTAACACTACATTTTTAAACCTACCCATACCTCTTCGACCCCATTGCCTATGCTCTCATTAGCCCATCTATCCCCCAATAGTGTTTATATCTTACCTAACTGCCTCCTCTTTTAGTTTATAAACCTTCACTCTCTCTTCCCTGATGCTTCTATTCTCCTTGTATCCCATTACCTTTACTCTCAGGTAGCTACAACTAGAAAGTGATCTGATATATCTGTGGCCCCTCTATAAACATGTACATCCTGAAGTCTACTCAACGTCTTTTATTACCAATACATAATCAACAAACTACTGTCATTTCGCCCTACATCATATCGTGTATACTTATTTATCCTCTTTTTCTTAAAATATGTATTACCTATAACTAAACCCCTTTCTATACAAAGTTCAATCAAAGGGCTCCCATTATCATTTACACCTGGCACCCCAAACTTCCCTACCACACCCTCTCTAAAAGTTTCTCCTACTTTAGCATTCAAGTCCCCTACCACAATTACTCTCCCCACTTGGTTCAAAGGCTCCTATACATTCACTTAACATCTCCCCAAAATCTCTCTCTCTCCTCTGCATTCCTCTCTTCTCCAGGTGCATACACGCTTATTATGACCCACTTCTCGCATCCAACCTTTACTTTAATCCACATAATTCTTGAATTTACACATTCATATTCTCTTTTCTCCTTCCATAACTGATCATTTAACATTACTGCTACCCCTTCCTTTGCTCTAACTCTCTCAGATACTCCAGATTTAATCCCATTTATTTCCCCCCACTGAAACTCTCCTACCCCCTTCAGCTTTGTTTCGCTTAGGGCCAGGACATCCAACTTCTTTTCATTCATAACATCAGCAATATAATATTTAGCATAACATATCCAGGAACATCTTGTACCTAATTAGAAACTGACAGCCAAAGGCACATTAATCCTGCCATTAACTATAAGTTTATTCTAGCCATTAACATGTGACCCCAAAAATTTCTAAATATTACAGTTATTATTATACAGTGGACCCCCGGTTCACGATATTAATCCGTTCCTGAGAGCTCGTTGTAAACCGAAATTATCGGAAAGCGAATCAATTTTCCCCCATAAGAAATAATGGAAATCAAATTAATCCGTGCAAGACACCCAAAAGTATGAAAAAAAAACTTTTACCACATGAAATATTAAGTTTAATGCAATAGAATAATTACAATAACAGCAATAACAATAGAATAATTGACACTTACCTTTAATGAAGATCTGGTGATGATTGATGGGATGGGAGGAGGGGAGAGTGTTGAACCTATTGTTTAGAAGGGGAACCCCCCTCCATTAGGACGTGAGGTAGCAAGTCCTTTTCCGGGGTTACTTCCCTTCTTTTAATGCCACTAGGACCAGCTTGAGAGTCACTGGACTTCTGTCGCACAACATATCTGTCACAAAGGCCTGTACCTCTCGTTCCTTTATGACTTTCCTAAAGTGGTTCACAACATTGTCAGTGTAATAGTCACCAGCACGGCTTGCAATAGCTGTGTTAGGGTGATTTTCATCCATAAAGGTTTGCAGTTCAACCCACTGTGCACACATTTCCTTAATTTTTGAAGTAGGCACAATGGATTCCACAACTGGCATAGGCTTCTCAGGGTTAGCCCCAAACCCTTCAAAATCTTTCTTAATTTCCATACTATTTCTCACCTTTTTTACCACAGGGTTGGCACTAGAAGCTTTCTTGGGGCCCATGGTGACTTATTTTGCAGAAACAAGCACCAAAAACAGTGATAATATGGAATGTACCGAATGTATCCTTAGATGCGCGCACACTGGCTGGCTTGTAAACACTGGCACACACGTGGCAGTTCAGGCCACACATGGACACATCTTGTACGAATCGTATCGCATACCGGGTTTTGTAATAGGAACTGAGGGAAATTTTTGGCGATATAATGCATCGGATACCAGATTTATCAGATACCGATAGCATCGCGAACCGGGGGTCCACTGTAATGGGGAACTGCTAAACCCATAGGAATCAGTACCTTAAAAATGCAGGATAATAGGTTTGATCCAAAGAATGGGAGGGTAGCTCCGTTTCCTTGGCTCAGGAGCCCTTGACTATCAAGATACCTTACCACTAATCTATGAACTATGAATGCCAGTAAGCGTTTGCCCCTTAATTTAGCTTGCAGATTATGTTTCTTGACATTCATAAAGTTGTAGCTAACTTATCTGTCGAGGAGGATCACAACACAAATAAGTCACACAAAGGACTGAAACTTATGATGTTGATTTGGTTCAACTTGGGCCATTAATAAATCAGAGAAACGTGAAAGGAAGGGAGCTAATATACGTATATGTGATCTACTCAAATCTGGCTCAATATCCGGTGTTAAAATGTATTGAATTTATCTATAAAATATAAATCATCATTGTTTAACTGCCTTAACACATAACAAACTGTGTGATTCTATATAATGCTAATAATACAGTAAATACTAGATTTAATGGATTTCGCAAATACCGTATCTTATAAAAATGTTACCTAATGTTTGCTTTCCAAAATTTGGGTTATTAAATTGTTTAAGCCATGGTATTATAAACAATTCTTTACAGTATTCTTGAATTCACAAATTTTGATCATTCAACTTTTATACTGAAAAGTCTCCCACAAATAACATACTTTTTTTTAATGATTACTTTTTGGCTTGATGAATAACCTCAGTGTTAGAAACCTTTGGAATTTGTTAAAAATTCCCAAGCCTCTTCTTGATGGACATTTATTTGAATGTTAATATTGATAAGGTTACATAGGTGATAAAAGATTGTATGCCAACTCTTGGCAGGAAATCACAGCTTTCATTTCATCACTCATGTGTAACAACTCAAAATAGTCCCTTTATCTCTCCCATCTCCACCTTCCAGTTTAACATTTCATCACTTACACACTTAACTGCTAAATGCATTTGGATCATTTAAGTGAATATGTTTGACAGGGATTTCCGTAATGACTTGTTTGAGTTTGCGGAGGAGGAGGATGAACTTTAGTTTTTGGTGTGACATCTAACTTTCAGATGACTGATATGACTTGAGTTCTGTATTTGTCTTTTTGATCTCTGTACGGAGTTTACATTCAGTGTTATTACTTGGTTCATTCCTTTTTTTTTTTTTTTAACACCTTCCGTATTTCACCAAATCAGGGTGACCTGAAAAAGAAGAAATGTCAAGTTTCTAATTTTTACATTTAATAATTTTTGTAGAAGGTTACTAGCCCCTTGCTCCAGGCATTTTAGTTACCTCTTATGACACACATGGCTTACAGAGGAAGGCCTGTTCTTTGCTTCCCCGTGGAGATTTACTACTGTTGTATGGAGAATAATTTAGATAGTGCAGGCATTGAATTTCCCATCTAAACAAGAGCCAAGCTAACTGTTCTCTATAAACCCCTTTATTGACAGTCTATTATTGTCCTCACACCAACACAGCTTGAATGATCACTGGCCTTCACTTGTATGTAAGTCTTAAATATGCTTAAGCTTCTATCTCTCAGTATCTCCTCAAGATCAAATAAGTAATTACAAATAGGAAATAGAATGAAGATAAATGATTCAGAGAACCAACAAGTTGACAAATTAGATACTTATGCAATGCTCGAGTATCTTTATTTTGGAAACATTTTGCCAACCTTTGGCTTCCTCAGTCATGCCATAAACTCTTCCATTCACTCCTGATTTATACATACTTTTAATTGCTTTTAATTCAAAGAGTAGAATTTTTTTTTAATTGGTTTGGTTATATAGAAAGGAGAAAGAGGGCCTTTGACTTTGCCTTGAAACTCTATCAAAGGCAAAGGCATTCTTTATCCTATCCATATAACCAAACCATCTCAACAACCACACTCATCTACTCTTTGAATTATTCCTCTAATGCTTTCATGCTGTCTTCTAATTTCTTCATTGTTTATTCTTTGCACAATATTAAAACTACACATTATTCTCAGGTATGATAGTTTCCGCTGCCTTGCTGGAATATTTATGATCCCCATGACATCCAGATGGAAGTGTGGATGTCATATGTTTTTAAAGTAGAACATCTTTTATGAGGAAATTAATTTTCGTTAATCTTACAGCTGGATGTAAGGTGGGAGATGGTGGCCTGTGGAAAGACAGAGAACCAGCGCCGTCTGACCGAGCAAGCACGTCAGTTTGTCAACCAGAATGCAGCATTGAAGCCGCGTTCACTCAACCTGTAGATCAGCCACCCAGAGAGACCACAGTAGTTGAATTATGGTAGTTGGGTAGAAGCCTGAGTACTTGTTTACCTATCACTTGAGGTAGGACAAGTGCTCAATCATGAGAAACCACATTGTATGAATATATTTTGATTTCATGGTAAGTGAATCAACATAAATAATGATTGCCATCATGCTTGAATATCCTTCATGAGTTATTCAGTTATTTACAAAAGGGCGATATACCACACTCTAAAATTAGCCATTTTTTTTAAGCTTGTATGCCTTTTTTATCTTTAAGTTAGTAATTTTCCTTAGCTTAGGACATGGGCATGTTTGTTGTTAGTGGATTACATCTTTGTAATTTTGGAAATTACTAAAAAAGGCACAAAAAAGGGAAACAAAGAAAGCTTCAGGAACCATTCTCTAATGTGCATTATTTTATGGAGTAATGAATTTTTTAGGTGAAAGAATTTAAAATTTAATAGGCAATCACCACAATTACTAAATTTGCTATAAATCTCCATATTTTAAAGTTTTAATGTAATGTTACTTGTGGTCCCTCTGAGAGGCTTCCCTGCATGGCTAAAAGACACAGAATTTTGCCTTAGCATAGGACAGAAGAAAACAAGATCACATTCTGTTCTGCAAGGGTAAGCTAATGCATGTTCTCTTGCAAAGTAGATGCATTTCTTGCAAGAGTAATATGAGTTGCATACCTGTTGAGAACCAGAGTGTTTGTTCCTGTACTCTGCTGAGATGATTGTGTGTTGTTCAAGATCATGTTGAAGGTTAGTGTGTATAAGAGGGGGTTGTATTGGTGAGGCAAACCTCTGTGAAGGTTAGTGTGTATAAGAGGGGGTTGTATTGGTGAGGCAAACCTCTGTGAAGGTTAGTGTGTATAAGAGGGGGTTGTATTGGTGAGGTCAACCTCTGTGAGACACTAAATTCTCAAAGCTACTTTTTTAATTATATTACATTATTATAATGAAACTAGTATCTTTTAAGCTTAACATTTTTGTACAAGTGTGTATAATTACCTATTTTTTGTACAAGAGTGTACAAATGTGTTTGTAATTACCTATTTATATATACAGTATATATAAATATCACATAGTAGATGCTCAATTATTCAAATTAATTGGGTCAGGTCTTAAGATAAAAAGAATGGATAATAGAGATTATCCCATTTTTTAGACCCTTAAATAGATTTTATTAGAAAAAATAGTTTAGCGCATTTACACGTACTTTGTGGGAGAGGGACACGTTATATGGGAGGGACAGTAACAGTAACCACTCTGTGTATTAGTATACATCACAGCAGTTCCTCAGTGTTGTTGAAACACCTTTCTCACTGGATGAGAAGTAACTATACATTATATGGGAGAGATTCACTAGTGGTTTATTGACAAGTGTCATTAATGCTGCCATGTATATAGAAACTAACACACTGAGAGAACCCCTTTTGGTGTACATACCCTCTTCCCTAACGGTAATTATCAGTTGTATGAATCCTCACACTAATTCCACTAAGAAAAGCAGCATTTTGTTAGTGTAAATATTGGTAATGGATGTTACAAACCAGGTTGCTATGTGTCGTGGAAATCAAATTATTTTTTGGTCTGGTGGCAGCTATGTAGCATTGCTTAGTAATAATCGTAGAATTACCCACAAAAAATTAGATAAAAGGTCACATGCAGCTAATGTGAAATTTCATTATGGTAAGGTTTTTGCTCTCCAGGAGCTTTGTCAGAGCTCTGGAGAGTGAAACGTTGCCACAATAAAATGTCACATTAGTTGCGTCTGTCCTTTTACCTAACATAGTATTGCTTGCCACTGCCACATTTTGCTTATGTTTGGGAGTACATGTGGCAGTCAGACTGCAATCCCCTATACAGAATATATTATATCACTTAAGCAAACATATAATGCATTTTTAACATTACTTTATTCACAAAAAACCCAAACCCATTTAAATCATATAGTGCTGTTAACCAGTAATAATTGTTATTATTTATTAAAATATAATTGCTTTTATTTTGTATTGATTTTTTCTGTGATTACAAACCCAGATAATGGGGAATCACACATTCACCTGACATTTGTAACTCTTGCTTAACACGAGTGAGTAATGCTTATATCCAAATTTGAGTGTTTGATTAATTAAAATGCAAATAATAGAGTGTCTACTGTGTATAATAAATGTGCATTCTACTGTGTATAATAAATGTGCAAATGTACATACACACATATGTGAACACACACACACACCACAAAAAATCACTACCTAAAATTGTAAACGTTAGGTGTAAACAAATCATGGGTGTACTTAGTGTCTCACACTGCAGGCCTTGCTAACACCTTCGTCTGTGCATAGTACTGTATATGTAATAGGAAAACAGTTATTTTCAGACCAAAGTATCGCCAGCACAAGAGAAGCATCTGGCAAGACTCTTCCCAGTAAACTTGGAAGGGCTACCAGTCTTGAGCTAGCGTGTAATAGTTAGGTAGAACAACTGTGAATGGGGTGTAATATAGGGAGACTGTATTTTTATCTACAATATACAAGCTTGGGTTGGAGGCCGTAAGGCATGTGAGATTTTTTTAATCGTGTATCAATATAATGAACAAAGTATTTAACACCAATAATCTCATTAGCATTGTAAATATATTGTGGCTTTTTTACTGGAGCAACTTTAGGTGTTGGTCCCATATAATAGCTTGCCAGTTTTATGCCTCAGTTGTATAACAAGCTAGATCAAGGGAACAAATTACTTTTACTCTGCTTGGCTTTTTCAGGAAGCTATACAATTTCCTTTTCATTGTGTTTATTTGTTGGAGACTTATATTAATTTTATGTGAATTGTTTTAAATCTTTTCTGTTTTTCCTTAGGCTGACTGTTTAAATGGCTTAAATTTCCATTTCTCTCATATATATGAATTATACACAAATAACCCACACATAGAAGAGAGGAGGTTACGATGACGTTTCGGTCCGACTTGGACCATTTACAAAGTTACTAACAAAAAGGAGAGCAGGAAGTAGTAGTGAGGAGGAGCCAGTCAAATACTAAGCTCCTCTGTTTTATGTGCAGGTTATTTGTGTATCATTCCAGTCACAGTATTGTGCCTTTTTTTTGTTATATATGAATCATATTTAGCATTTGCACTGACAGGATGTAAATTGCACCAGTTTTGTGCAACATAGATGAGTCGTACTGTGCTGGCACTGTTCTGCCTCATTTGTGGTGCAGGCGTCGATCAATTGCTCATCATGTTGCTAATTTGTGGTGTAGCACATTTCACTCGTACTATAACATAAAACCTTAAGTACCAGTTCTGCTTGCATTATGCCTTGCACTGATAAGGACACCTAAGAGGGATTGACTTTTAGTGAATATGTATGTATATAAACACTACATTTTATTATGTCAAAAGATTATTGCATGTATTTTTCTATCATATTGCTGATGTTCGTATATGGTGTTTGATTTTAACTAGTAACAGTAATGCTTTTCAAGATTGCTCTTCTCATATTAGGTGTACCCTTGCTTGTGGTTGCACAGTTCCAGCACAATTCTCTCTCTAACACCTTCCCCATAAAGTGATAGTGTAAGCAGTATGAACTAAGGAAATGAAACTCTTAAGTTATTTGCCTAGTGGGTTCCATGTGTTTAATTTTTCTAACAGTTTGTATGAAGGAATAGACCTTTGGAGATGGGATTGATGTATTTGTGTTATTGTGCTTGCAATTAGTGTTTTGTGTGCTTCACTGTGTTAGCTGTATCTAGTGACAAGGTTATTGAATATTTTCATATACATTGCTACCATCATTTAACAAAAAATTTATCTGTACATTATGTAACAGCTGTAAGTGATAGTGATGCTATTCCATGTCCTCCTGTATTAGGAATAACAGATGGACAGTGTATAATTGTTTGGCCTCATCTCATGGTGATGGAATGCAAATGAGTTTTATCATTTCTTGAATGCTTTATGAACATTGAAAGACCTGATGGCTAAGTGGAGAGCAGTTGCAACCAACCTGAATAATTAAATACACTTGTGTCCTTTTGAGTAAAATCTACTTAGTAACAGGCTTAAGAAAGACAGCATTTCTTAACATGTTTAATTTAAAAGAAAATATTACTACATTAGTTAAATAAATGCAAAAAATTAATGAGCCCTATAGACATTAATATACAGTTCATTAAAATCAAGTTGTGCAGTCATTAATTATGCAATAATATATCACATATTTAATCTAGACAATAATGCAGCTGTTAAATTGACTTCGTTTTAGATAATTGAGTGACTGATTAAAAATTCACTGCCAAAATAAGTATATTTTAAAACACTGTACATATTTAAAGAAATTTACAATATGGCAAAAAGTAATTGATCAGCACTTGTTTGAAGATACTGAGTTGTTACTGCTAATAGTGCAAGTCACGTGTTTATAGGATCTGACACTTTACAAGTTTAACTGCTTTGTATGACCCTTGTAGGTTTAGCACTTCTTTTTGATTATAATAATTTACAAGTTTAAAAATGTTTGGAGTTTTATATAGTACACATACATGGGATTTATATTCATTATATCTTTAAATAATTCCATATGATTTAAACATTAATTTTGGACAATACATTTACTAAGGCCTTACTTCTGGGATGATAGCGGCATTAATGGAAATTAGTTTCTTTTTTATTTAGTACTTTCAAGCTGGAATTAATTTATGACTTCTGCTCCAGGTCACATTTTAATGATTTATCTAAAACCTGCATTTTTTTTTTATTATTGAAAGGGGAATTCAGCTGAAATATTGGATAATACATGCATAGTATTTTTATTAAGTGATTGGCCATATGTAGAGATATGATTAATTTTGTAGTTTGCCATATTTCTATAATACTTTTCTGGAAAAAAAAAAACTATGCATAATGGATTTTTAATACTGAAGCAGCAGTATTTTTAGTTATTCTGCTACCAGATACTCTGGTACATTTCTTTACATATGGAATATATATTGCTTTTGCAACTCTGTCATTTGATGATACCAGCATTTCACTTTATATAGTTCCTAACATTAGTATAGCTTTTACTGCTAACTAACTTTTAATGATTGTAGATCCTTCATTTACTTACAGTATATTATTCCTATATCTTGGTGACTAAAGGTAGTAGGTTGGTAGACAGCAACCACCCAGGGAGGTACTACCGTCCTGCCAAGTGAGTGTAAAACGAAAGCCTGTAATTGTTTTACACGATAGGATTGCTGGTGTCCATTTTTTCTGTCTCATAAACATGTAAGATTTCAGGTACATCTTGCTACTTCTACTTTGGTCACACTACACATACAAGCATATATATATACACACACCCCTCTGGGTTTTCTTTCTAGTTCTTGTCCTTGTTTATTTCCTCTTACCTCCATGGGGAAGTGGAACAGAATTCTTCCTCCGTAAGCCATGTGTGTTGTAAGAGGCGACTAAAATGCCGGGAGCAAGGGGCTAGTAACCCCTTCTCTTGTATATATTACTAAATGTAAAAGGAGAAACTTTCGTTTTTCCTTTTGGGCCACCCTGCCTCGGTGGGATACGGCCAGTGTGTTGAAAGAAAAGATTTTGGTGACTAAGGTGGTATGAGTATATTAGTAGCCAGGTTGTCATCATAGCCTCTTGTTAGATAATGAACACACAAAACACATGCAGTACAGTATACAGCAAAAAGTAGCTTCATTCCCAAATTTTCTATGTCTGCTCCAAGAGCTTAAACGGGTGTATTATTGCGGCCAGAAAATGTATGGCAGAGTTTATTAGTTTGTTCAGTTGATGTGTGATGGCAAGTGTTTTATTTTAACCGGTTATTTTGAAATACTAAATACTATGCTAAAAGTGATTAATACTTTTCTTATGTTCCTAAGACTTGAATTTTAAATTGTATGCAGCAGTTTTTGCTAACTCAATGAAACTAGGATGAAGTAGAAATGTACAAAGGCTGAGTTTCTTCAATGTTTAAGTGCAAAAATAAGCTTGGCATATAGGCAAAAAATTGGTTTTGTAGAGCTGCAGTGTCAAGCATTTATGTACCAAGAATTGCACATTGAAAAATGTTTCAGTGCACAGTTGTGGTGATGTTTTATATCTGTACATTCATAAATATCTAAGGAATGAGTCACTGTTTTAATAAAGACAGGCTAAGATTATCCCATGACTGGTAGATTTCTTTAAAAGAGAACTTGAATGTAAAGCATAGAGATAAATAACTGTTGGCAATTCTGGAGTCCACAATGAATTTTCCTGTCCTAGTCATCTTGACCTGCAAGCATTTTTCATTTCATGTATTGATTATTTGAAATTAGTTTGGACATGGTAACAACAGGTCTAAAGAGTTCAGACCAGGATGTATATCAAGTCTTTTTATCTGGTTGTTATCATGTCCATCCTCTGATATACTAAACCATATTTCAAGCTATACCTATATTTTGTTGCTAAGGGCATAATTGGTACCAAATATTGAAGCTTCTTTTATGTTAGTGATACTCGTGTATTGTATTTAGGTACATCACAGCATATTTATTAGTGGCTTAGAATTCGTCCCAAGTGAAATTTTGTTAAAACGGTCAAGGGTTACTTTGTACAAACTATCGTTTAATGCAAGTCTGTATTTTTTTTTTATGAGAAAATATTACAGACTGATTGGCAGCTGTTGTTTGTGGGGACCCATTAGCTAACAGGTAGATAACTATTTATTCATTAATTTGCTGCTACAATTATTTGGTTTAAATTGATATTAAATAAATTAAATAACAATATTGTTTCTTAATCTGCCCATCTTATTTTTTCTCTGAGCAATAACATTATATATTGGAACTTGTTTTAAAACGTATGTCAGATATATCTAAGCTGTGGTTCACGAGACTTAGTTGACTGGTGGAAAGTAAAATGAGCAAACAAGAGCTAGTAGTATTATTATTATTATAATCAAAAAGAAGCGCTAAGCCACTAGGGCTATACAGCGCTGCAGGGTAGGGAAGGAAGCGAGGGTATTGGGCGGCAGAAGGGAGGAGGGATGATCAGTAGGTTACAGAAAACAGCGGGGCAGGGGATAGTACGGGGGTAGAGGGTAGCAAGAGATTGAGGTAGAAAGGGCTGAAGGTATCAGAATTTGTGAAGTCAGTTGTCAAAAAGTCATTGAGAGAGTCCGGATGAAAGGTGGGTCCATCAGCAAGAAGGGAAGGTAAAGAGAGAGCAGCGGAGCGAAGACGACGACGGAGGTATATTCTGCGTGCTCGTTGATAAAGTGGGCAGTCCAACAGAATGTGGCTGACTGATAATGGAGCCTGGCAATTCTCACAGAGAGGAGCAGGGCGCCTCTCCATGAGTAAGACGAGTATGGCCAATGCGAAGACGGGAGAGAGTAGTCTCCCAACCTCGGCACTGGTGATAAGAAGACGGCCAGTAACCTATACTCGGTTTAATAGATTGAAGTTTGTTACCGAGCATAGTAGACCAACGTTGTTGCCAACGGGTGTGAAGATATTGCAGCAAAATAGTCTGTAAATGGAATACCTCTATATGAAACTGGTAGGTCATGTACTGCTGACTGCGCAGCAGTGTCTGCCTGTTCATTGCCCTGTACGTCAACATGACCAGGGACCCAACAAAAAATAATATCTTTATGCTTGGTAAAGATGCGGCGTATCAAATTTCTGTATAGCCTGTAAAGCACTAAGGGAGTCTGAGACGACCACAAATGATGACACAGGCATAGATGCAATACAGATAAGTGCTGCAAGGATGGCATACAATTCAGCAGTAAAAATACTAGCCGAAGATAGTAAATGCCCTCGTACGACGCTGTCCGGAAACACTGCTGCGAATCCTACGCCGTCAGAAGACTTAGAGCCATCTGTGTACACAGCAATGGCATGAGAATGAGAGTGGAAGTGGTCAAGAAAAAGAGAGCGGGAAGCGACTGTAGACAGTTGGGCTTTCGAGCAAGGGAGAGAGAAAGAACAGACTCGAACAGCTGGAACTTCCCAAGGGGGTAGGGAAAAGTGAGATGCTACATGAACATAGAAAGGTGGTAATTGAAGAGAAGACAAGAGCGAATGAAGGCGAAGAGAGAAGGGACGGAGTAAACGGGCGGCGAACAAATAAAGAATGTCTAATATCAGCGACCATTCTATAAATGGAAGGATTGCTGAGATCATGAGAGCGTACATAGTAGCGAAGGCAATGGGCATCACGGCGATCGGATAAGGATGGAACGTTCGCTTCTGCATAGAGGCTCTTAACAGGGGAAGAGCGAAAAGCACCAAGGCATAAATGTAATCCTTGGTGATGAATGGGATTAAGGCTAGAGAGAGTAGCAGGAGATGCCGCTGAATACATCTGGTCACCATAATCAAATTTCGATAAAATGAGGGTGGAATGTAGGCGAAGGAGGGTTCGACAATCGGCTCCCCATGAAAGATGAGCAAGGGTTTTAAGAAGGTTCAGCCGGCTGTGACAAGTTGCCTTCAGAGAGGTAATGTGAGGTTTCCAGGATAACCTACGGTCAAAGAGGAGGCCCAGAAACTTGACTGTATCACGTTCAGGGATACAGGAGCCATGGAGGTACAAAGGATGATCAGAGATGACAGAGCGTCTAGTGAAAGTAATTTGGTGAGTTTTAGTGCTGGAAAATTTAAACCCATGTGTGGTGGCCCAATTGGAAACACGGTCGACCGCATGCTGGAGAGAAACTGTAATGAGGTGACAGTCAGCGCCTGCACAGGCAATAGCGAAGTCATCAACATAGAGTGATGACCAAATATTTGAGGAAGACTAAGGCCAAATCATTAATAGCAAGGAGAAAAAGTGTTGTGCTCAGAACACATGCCTGGGGGACACCTTCAGCTTGGATAAAGTCCGGGGAAAGCACATTATTAACCCGAACACGGAAATGTCTATCAGTTAAAAAGTTCTTAAGGAAGGATGGTAGATTGCCTCGGAGGCCTAAGGAGTGGGCTTGGGCCAAAATATTATACCTCCAAGTTGTGTCATATGCCTTCTCAAGGTCAAAAAATATGTCGATAACTGAGTGGTTATTCACAAAGGCATTACGAACATATGTATCCAAGCGTAGTAAGGGGTCTATGGTAGAACGTCCCTTACAAAAGCCATATTGACGAGTGGAGAGACTGTTGTGTGTCTCTAAATACCACGCTAAACGTCTATTTACCAGGCGTTCCATCACTTTGCAAACTGCACTGGTAAGAGCAATATGACGATAGTGGGAGGCTTCATGTCCCGTAGTGCCTGGTTTGCGGAAAGGGAGAACAATGGCAGATTTCCACAGCTGTGGAAGAACTCCTTGTGACCAAATAAGATTGAAAAGGCGTAATAGGACTGCAAGGGCTGACTGATGTAAATGTTGTAGCATATGAATATGAATGTCGTCAGGCCCAGCTGCCAATGATTGGCAAGTTGAGAGTGTTGCCTCCAGTTCTTGAAGTGTAAAAGGCACATTATACTGTTCTTCTCTGAGAGAAGAAAAGTCCAAGGGTGCTAACTCTCTGGCAGACTTTGAGGAAAGAAACGAGGGGCATAGATGGAGTCCCTGAGAAATACGGACCAGATGATTGCCAATTTCATTGGCAACATCTAGTGGGTTTGCTATATCAACACCGGCAACCCGCAGAACAGGAGCCGGGTCAGGAGAATATTTACCACTCAGTTTTCGTACTTTTTTCCAGACTGCACTCATAGAGGAAGCAGAGGTGATGGTGGAGACATAATCTCGCCAGCAAGTGCGTTTAGCGTCACGGAGAGCGATCGCACGCTTCTGCTTAAAATCAAGAAGTCTCTCCATGGTTCTATTGTACCGGTACCTGCCTCATGCAGCGCGTTTCAAATGTACTGCACGAGCACAAGCAGGAGAGCACCAAGCACGCATTTCTGAGAATGCCTGCCCGAAGTTTGGGGTATAGAATGAGAAGCTGCGGTTAAAACGGAGGACGAGAAGAGGTGTAAAAGCTCATCAATGGAGGACGAAGAAGGAACCTCACTAAAAATAGTTAGTTGTGAGTAAAGGTTCCAATCTGCCTGATCAAACTGCCAGCGTGGGATGCGAAGAGGTGGTGAATATGAAGGGGAAGTAATGATTGGGAAATGATCGCTGTCATGTAAATCCGGGAGAACAGACCAGGTGAAGTCTAATGCGGCCGAGGAAGAGCAGACTGAGAGATCGATGCAAGAGAGAGTGTGAGTCCGAGGATCAAAATGGGTGTGAGTACCTGTATTTAAAACATGGAGGGGGTGGGTGGCAAGAAAAGCCTCTAACTGAATGCCACGGGAATCACAGTGAGACCCCCCCAGAGGAAATGATGGGCATTAAAATTCCCAAGTAACAGAATCGGTGGTGGTAATGACGAAACAAGAAAGGCAATATCCGGAATAGATAATGCCCGAGAAGGAGAGAGATATAAAGAACAGAGCGTTTACCACCTATGCAAGTGGATACGGGCTGCTGTGTAATGCAGCGAAGTACGAACAAATAGCTGATGGTACGGAATATCAGTGCGTAGAAGAAGGGCACTTTCATTAAAGGTCCCATCAGGAAAAGGATCTGAAGAATACAAATTATAGCCTGAGATGGGAGAGAGAACAGCAGAGTGTACTTTTGATTCCTGTAAGCAAACACCAACAGGGGAAAACTGGGAGAGTAACATCTGAAGCTCAACCCCGATTACCCCTGAGGCCGCGTATATTCCACTGTAAATAGGCCATGATAAAGATACTTGAAATCCGCAGGTAAGGGTTCCTACGGACTAGAGGGGTTAGAAAAGTCCACATGCGGAGGCAGCGGAAAACATTCAAGCAGCGAAGGAACGGTGCGCTGTGAAGAAAGAAGTTGCGCAGATGGAGGAGAGGAGAGAGAAGGAATGGAGGGTGGATCAGTGTCCATTGATGGTTTGGTCTCTGCAATATATTCAGAGATTGCTTCAAGTGTTTCGGAATTCAGAGACGTCGTATGGGAGACAATATTGGAGATGGTAGGTGGAGGATGAGTAAAGATTGGAACTGTAATGGATTGTACCAAGGCAGGGTGGAGGGAACTGGAGAAGAAGCATGGAAGGGGACAGAAGAGGCAGAAACCTGGGAGGTGGCAGAAGAGGAAGAAACAGGGGAGGTAGGTATAGTACGAGGAGGAGGGTGAACCTCTACACTTGTAACAGAGCCAGTGAGAGGGAAAGAACCTGGTACAGAGACAGGGAAGGTAAAATGAGGAGGTGGAAGAAGGGGTTAAAGGACCTTTTTTTGACTTTTGAGAAGTAGAGGGACGATTGGGAGGTGTCGTACGATTTCTCGTCGATACTGAGGGAGAACACGAAGAAGCGAGAACAGACTGAGGCGTTGAAGTAGGGACGTCTGAGCCTAGGACAGCAAAAGAATTAGATACAGGAGTGACTATGGGAGAGGTAACCACAGAGGAGGCTGCAGAAGGTGGGACCCCGGAAGTGGGGGGACGTTTTGAAACATGGGAATAAGAAACACGAGGTAGTTTCCCTTGGAGGCGGAGATGAGAAACTGCCATGGCATAAGGGAGACCTTCTGCCTCTTTGAGGTAAAGGATTTCCTGCTCATTTAAGTAGACTTGGCAACGGCGAGAGTACGAAGGGTGAGCCTCATGACAATTAAGGCAAGAGGGAGGTCGATTGCAAGACGTATTAGAATGGTCACCGGCACCACAGACTGGGCATTCGGCAATGGATCTGCAATATTTCGCTGGATGGGCAAAACGCCAGCAATTTCTACACTGTAAG